TAAGAATAGGTATACATAAAGCAACAAATTATGAATTCAACTATTTATAAAACTAAAAATATTGGAATCAAATAAATTAAGCCTATTATTGAAGAAATCGCGACGCACGTAAAACTAAACATAAAAATATATTGCAAGATTTCAAAGTAAATACGTTTTGAAAATCAAACTGAATCATCATTTTGAAACAAAATACTTAAAATATTTTTGTATCGTTAAATCTTTTCTTTGTCTGAGCTTCATCGTCATCATTATCAATACTGAATCATTGGCTACACTACTCAACACCTTTGCTTAACTCTGTTTAGTATTTACGATTTTCTATCTCGTATCTGATGACTAGATACTACAGAAAGATAGCTACAAAAGTAATACCTTTATATGAATTATATATAAGAGTTACATGGCAGTTGTGATAGCAAACTCATAAAAGTAAACTTGAAGAAATCTTTTTGCAGAAATGCATTGAATTGATGGTGATTTATTTTTAGCATAGCCCGTTCATGCTTTTCTCGTTCTTAATTTGTAAAATTTAAAGATTTTGTTTAAATTAGCTTCAAAAGTTTAAATAAGAGAATGTGGGGTAAAAATAAGGGGCAGCATTTATTTTAATATAAGATTCACTGTTGAGATTTAGGCTGTGACTCTTGAGAAACAAAAAAGACTTCATAGCATTTGCTACATTTCTTTGTTTAAATTCACCAATCACCCGTCACTACCTGAGTCTGTAAAGAAATTAGGTATTTTGGAAGCAGAAAAGATGAAAAATGAGCAACGCTTTCGCCGGGAATCAAACCACGGTCTTCTAGAATACGCGCCCAGCATGCAGACCACCACACCACGAAGGCATGCCAAGAAGACGGGAGTAATGCCTTATAAGTCTATGATGAATTATTCATAACACTAACAATATAAATGTAAAAAAAAAAAGACTTCCTGAGTGTTTATAAACCCCAAAATGGTCTGTTTTCCGAACTTTAATACCGAAAATTTACTCATTAAAGCAGTTTCTATTTTATTATAAACTAGCGTTTACCCGCGGCTTCGCTCGCGTTTAATGTCCTTAAATAAGTTTCAAAGACTATTGAAAAGAAAAGAAAATAATTTAATTTTTTTCCTTATGGCCTGATCAGGATAACAGGATAAAATTTTAGTTACTATTACTTATTTTTTAAGTTAAAAATACACTCCAAGTAAAATTTCAGTAAATACTACCCTTCTTCATTGAGCTAAAAAAGAAATCCATATTGATGTCGTTAAGATGCTATTCTGCATAATTTTTTAAATCCGATTTGGATATATCAAACATTGCAATCTTATGTTTTTTTTTTTTACTAAAAGATTCTAAAATTCTAACTATAATATTATAAATGCGAATACACTAAATGGCTAAGCGTGAAAGCGTAACAAACAAACACACAAACAAACTGACATTCGCATATATAATATTAGTTAAAGTAAATTTATCGTTGGTTTTTTCTACTTTACTTTAAATTATATTAGTTAAAGTAATATGTAAAGTATAAAATGTTTGCGCCACGCACCTGCGCGCACCACGCACCTGCGCGCGCCACGCACCTGCGCGCCACGCACCTGCGCGCAGACAAATTTTTACATAATTTAACTTATCGTTATGAAACTTTCAACATTTATTGTTTATACAGCGACAATCATTTTAAGCTATAAATGCTTTGGCTTAAACCACGCAAGCATTTTATAGATTATAACCTTTTCTAATATATCAAAAACATTTCTTGAAAATTTTATGACGATCGGTTAAGTGATTAAGGCGTGAAAGCATAATAAACAAACTCACATTCGCATTTATAATATTAGTTAGGAATATATGTATACAATTCAAAGTTTGGTAATGATGCGCAGAATTGAAATCAGTGTCATGGAAGGCGAATCTCCCTTTCACCACCTGCTAAAACGAGTATCATCTGCAATGAATTAATTTTAAATATATTTGCTATTTTAATCAATGATTGCTGTTCTGAGATGCTGCGAAATTGCGAGAAAATCAGTGAACAGTTTTATGCAATTAAAAAAAAATATTCTGGAATACATGAAAAAATAAAAAAATCGGGAGAAAGGGTACATAAGTCAAGAAAAGACATTTTTGGAATACATTTATGAACTCTTTTCTTAAAAGGGATACATTAAATTTCTATTCCTTACATGATTTTAATATTTTTTCCCAACTTATGCGCACCATTACTTTATACAATGGAAATTTAGAGCAGATGATTTTTTTTCCATTTTCCCAGATATTCGCTTATATATTATGGCTTAATATTAAAAATTGTTATGATTTATAATGCATTAATTATTAGTTGCATTTATTATTGCTCTAGGGTGAATTTTTGATATCAACAGGATAACAGTTTATGTGCACCCAGTTTGGCACTTTAAACATAACTGCTCTAATTAATTTCATTTATTCTATTACCTCACTTTGATTTATTCACATTAGGCAAGCAATTTATTGATATGTTCAAAAATAAATTACCATTCTTGATAAATTACAAAACAATTAACTCCCGATTCATCGGAGTAATACCGATGACAGCACCCATGAGATAAGTAGTTAAGATCACTGAATACTGAATTCGACGCGGGTTCAGGCCTAGGCGAACAGGCTAGCAGCATGGCCCGTTTTCGTGGTTTTACCTATATGTAACATGAATATCGGCAATTTGCCTCAAAAGTCCTTCACGAAGGCATCCTCCCTTTTAGGCAGGTAGCCTTCATATGCTACGCCATGTTCAAATGACCTGGCGACACCCACGATGAACAGAAAACTTGTGGCCGCAGTTAAAAACATAAGAAAGAGGAATAACTGATATAATTAACAGAAAAATACTATTAACAATTTGTCCGAATTTTCAAGCAGTTTCAACAGAAAATTAATAATGTATATATTTAAAATAATTTATATATATGTAATTTTAGTCAGTTTTTATTTTAAATTCTATATTGTAAAGTATCGTTTACGTAATATGGCTTTTGCGCTGAAGTAACGTGCCGTAGCACTTACAGAAGTATGAAAGGATGAGATATTTTATTTCATGGGACCAAAGGATCCAAATGAGGGTTTGCTTTTCACAAAAGAATGGATACGCAAATGTCAAAGAGAAGATTCTATTAATGTGAAGAGCGGAAAAATCTGCAGCGAACATTTTCTATGCAGTGTTTATGAAGATGATATGAAAAATCGCTTGTTTGGATAGCCACAAAAATAAACTGTTGAAATGGAATGCTGTGCCGAAGTAAATTATGATGACAATAATAAATCGAAATTGATGATGACATAAAAATAAAATTTAATGATTTGAAATAAAACTCACAAATGAAATGTGGATCATGTGAATGTTTAAGGATAACAAGAATGCATTGATATTGAAGAACAAAATAATATCCTTAGAAAATTGTATTAAATTGTATTAAAGTATTGAAAAATAGAGAAAAGAAAAATTTTAGAATGTTTGTTCAGCGACAAAGAAGGTGGACGACATCTAGACAGAAATTAGTATCAAAATTAAAATCTCAAATAGCGAAATTTGGGGGGAGGTGGAGCACAAATCGAGGATTTGGAAAAATGTCTAAAGCCTATTTTATAAGGACGCAGATTGATGCATTACTGAAAAGAAGAAAAAAATCAGGTGGACTAGTGAAAATATTTCACGTTGCATGTCATAAGAGCTCTGTCATCTTAAAGCTATGATTTTTGGAAAAAAATTTGAATATCTTTACCTAGTATTATCAAATTAAAGGAATGGTGTTTTTTTTTTTTTAGTGTTTTCTAATTTTAGTGTGTCCAAGAATTCAAGTATGTTCTACTCTAAAGAAGGAAAGAGGCGAATATTTGTATTCTGTAGAAAAAATATGCTTCTCAGTTTCGACGAAATGCATATAGATTGAAATTCTGCTATGCTCTAAACTTGTTGGTTCTTTAAAATGTGCAGTTTGTTTAATCAGAGGTCTCATTTCGCGCTCTCCTCAAAGACTGAAACCGCGTTTTAGATAGAGGATTGTTTTGAAGATTAACTGTTTAAATTTTGATATTATTAAAAGCGGTTTTTAAACAGAGATTGAAAAAATCAAATTGTGTCACAACTAACCAAATTTTTTAATGGTCAAGGGAAACGAGAGACAAAAAGTCGCTCCAGAGAAAACATTATTCAAAAGTACCGCAAAAAGGTATACTCTACCCCCACAGAAATCAGAAAGCATCTGACTTCTATGGTTAATCGATATATCTTAGGTATTATGAATAGTACCAAAATATACCAACAAGAATAACAGTATTTAACAAACTAATTTTTTAAGTATTTTTAAAGTTATTCTTATTGTATCCCTTTGTACCTAATTATGATTAGGTTTTGTGCTAGATTAGCATTCTAGATAAAATATAAAGTAAAACATCAACGTAATTGGCATAAAAAGACCTGCTTCCTTTACTCACACTTTGAATTAAATAACTGTTTAGGTACTCTGAATAAAGCTATTTTGTCAATTAGATAACTATTTTACATTTATTTAATTGTAATATAGATATAAGTATAAATTACAAATTATTTTAAAAACTATTTATATTGAATCGGAAGAGAATTATACCTGTAAAATTTACATTAGCCAAGAAATCAAACGTAGGTAGCAAATGTTGCCATAACTATGTCTATATGCTTTAAACCTTGTCAATGTAAAGTTGTTTTTTGAGTAAATTTAAATAGCTGCATTAGAATTATCTTAGAAGCAGCATAAAATTCTCTCAGTTAGCATGCAAATAAGAAATGATTAGAATAAACGTGCATTAATAAAAAAACCTGCAAATAAAAAAAAACCACGGAACTTTATTTAAAGAGTAGCACTTTATCTATTATTTTAAAATGAGTAAGCATATTAATTTTTAATGTTGTCTAAAATGCATAAAGCATAACATTGCCTCTTCCAAAATAGCTATTTTCACACAGAGCTAATTTTAAACGCTGGTTCAAAAACGCTATTTCCAGCTGTGAATTATATTGGCGCGCTCAGTGTCATCATGGCTACGTCATCACTTCTGACTTTCTGCTTCAGGGGGAAAAGCTCTATGAGCTAGCCCTTCTCTTCTAAGTCCTGCATTATCTGCTGTCATCGCTGTTATCCTACATCTTTTTAATTTTCCTTTTTGAGGTTTCTGTTGACAGTTTTGTTTTGCATTGATATATTCATAAATATATCAAACTCTATTTTTAATGAATTTTTTAACAGGGCCTAGTTAACAGGCAATACGTTTAATCTGCCCTTCGTAAAGCTCGAATTAACTGCATTTCGTTCTATTTAAGAGTGTGTCAATCTTAAATAGAACGTATTATTCCAATATTAATCTAAGATTTTTCGACAAGATATACTTGGAAATGCATAGCAGTGTTGTAAATAAAGCCTTTCTTTACGGCAAAAAACCCTTATTTAAATTCGAAAATTCTTGGAACTATATGACAAACTAGTTGGCACAATATAAGAACAGCAAGAAAACAGCAACACTGAATGTGTTTACGTTTTACAAATATCACTCTAGCCTACTTAACAAGCACACGTTTCAGAATTTGAAACGCTCATTAAAATGAAGATGGTGGTTCAGATTTTGTCAGCCGTAACTGTTCTTGAACTTGTTGTATTTAGAAAGCAACAAATCTTCAATAACTGGCATTATGCAGCCACAGATTGGCTTTCTTTTTTACACGCAGAAATTTTCTTCTAAGGAGATAAACGTAGATTTATTTTATAGCGTTCGGACATTTGCAGGTCGCTTGGCAGGACTTGTAACGCTCGTTGCCGAGCTCACCACACAGCCAAGAATTCCAATTTTTGCTCAGCTCTGCGCAGTTCACCCAAAAATCAGAATAAGGACAGCTGTTCGCTGCGGAGGAAATGCAGGTAATTAATTTCGAGATCCACAGAGAAGAGAAAAGATAGCTTAAGAATAAAATAGACATTAAAACAAAACATTAATAATTATATATGACATATAAAACAAGTAATATAACACATGGTACAGGGCATATAAAGGACTTGAAAATAAGACGAATTCTGTCTCGTTATTATTAAATCTAAATTAACAGGAATTGATTACTCTTGATACACTTCACGATAAAAGCAAGATTCACAGCTACTCCGCATACAGACAGGGTTTATATAACTTTTGACATGTCTTCGAGAACATTCTGGGGTAAACCGGTCTCGCGTCTACGGTATATTGCCAATTTTATAACCAAATGGGCGATTTCGCGCCAAATCTGGCAACCCTGTCTTTCCTTGCCATTTTCTGTAAACCTTAACACCGCATTGTGGGAAAGCTGGTTGGATGCCATAAAATCTGGTTGGATGCTATCTGAAAACTAAATGAACGGATTAGGATGAGGGATGAACAGACCAATCCAAAACCTCATCTACCATACAGTAATCGAGAAGACTGCCCTATACGGGGCAGCCATATGAGCAGAACCACAAATCATTAGAACTTTTAGCAGAGAAGTACGAGACACCGGCACACCATATGAGTACCACCCAGGAAAGAAAAATAATATCGCATTAAGCATGAAAAAGAAGTAAACGAAAAGAAATTCCCCCAACTCTATACAGACGGTTCCGGCCTAGAAGAAGGTAACGGCATCGCAATCAAAATCTACCTAGAGTTGAACTCGACAACAGAACAGTAGTTCCATCTAGATCAACAAAACACTATATTCAACGCGGAATCAGAAGCGCTCTTTCAAGCAATAAAATACAGCATCACAAACTCCCTAAAAACAGCATTTATCTTTACAGACATGCATGCCATCGCAAACCCGCACCACCGATCGAAATAAATCCAAGAGATTACAGAAAGAACTTCAGCATCACAAAATCTACACTTCTTTGTCACTTGGCTGAAGGCACATGCAGGGACAAAAGGCAACAAGAAAGCTGACATCCTAGACAAAGAAGCAGCTAGAGATCAAAATGCACAAAACTTATCAGTGCCATGCCTGGCTCTCACCTTAAAAAAATCGTAAGCAACAAATCTAAAGCTGAATGGCAGAACTGGTGGGACAACGTCGAACAAGAAAGATAGATATATCAATTGTTCCTAAAAGTAGGCACAGCATCCAGTTTAATTAGGAGAGAAATAACGTGGTTACTATCAGGGCATGGCCCTTTTCCCACGTACTTTTATGCAAGGAACTTAGCAACATCAGACCTGTGTATATGTGGAGAAAGAGGCAGTCCCGAACATTACTTATTTAAATGCTCCCTCACAGCTGAGCATTATTTAATTATAAGTCCCGAATTCAGAAAGTGAAATGAATCCTTTTATAAGATATGCTATCAAGGACATCCATCTCAGAAAAAAAAATCATAAATATAATGAACTTCCTGTCCAAGGATCATTTTTTGTAAGCAGACCTAGAGATGTCCTCCATAGCATGTAAGTGCAAAAGGCACCAACTGTGAAAATATAAATGTATATATAATGGGAAAAAAGGCACTGTCCGCGGTGTGGTACCATTACAAAGCATTGCAAGCAACGCCTGGCAAGGTCACCTGTGAGCGCTGTGGGGTGTAATTATCTGGATAACTAGTGTGGCTGGACAACACCCACATTGCCAATGCTTAAATAATGAGTGTCTACATCCATATCTCAATACTACAAATTCGTTGCATATTTAAACTCGGTATGATTTGCATTCTGGTGATGACAGAATGAAACAAAAAGCAATGAATAAATGGTATTTTCTTGATTATAATACTAAAATAATCCTTCCCCTTTGTACCTTGACTCCTTTTCTTCCAGGCCGACCAGCAGCCGAGCGGTAAAGTCGTTGAACACTGATAGTTCGGTCCGAGATTCGAATCCCGCGAACGGACTGGCTGCATGGGCGTTTTCGTAGTTTTTCCCAAGTGTAACGTGTACACGAGCCAGTTTCCTTCAGAAAGTGATCCACGAAGGCATCCCTACTCTTAGGCAGATAGCACCTATACTTTCAAATTATTATTTTAAAGTTTTTAAATACATTCGCCGTATAACGCGAATCCTTTTCATTACGAAGAAAACTGAAAGATATATGAATGATGCTCTTATCTCTTGAAGTCATTCAGTCGAAGATTTTTCCCAGACTTTCGAACAATGGTATACCGAAGTGAAAAAGCGATAAGGGGAACAATATGTGTGTCTTGGAAATGGTTAAGGTACTAAATAGTTGACGGTGCGTTGCACGATGCAGCTGTGCACAAGAATGTTATTCTAGGCTTTCGAGAAAAGGTAGACATTATTTGAGGTAAGAATGCACTACCGATCTGAATGAATGGGAAGTTAGTAGTTAGATGTTTTCTCTTTCTGCAATCATTTGAAGGCATGAATTTCAAGAGAACATCGAAGGCAAGGAAAAGGAGACCAAATGCGACATGCTAGTCTAAAAATAGTGTGTGAGTGGATTATAAAACGTAGAAAGAAATTAAATCCGAGAACATTCAAAAGTCATTTAAAAAATGTAGTATATCTAACAATATCTATGGAATGGAAGATGATCTTTGGTACTTGTACCAACCTCCTTCAATATGATTCTGTACGTAGTTACTGTGCGATTATCTCCACCCATTTATGTCGTCTTGTCATTCACACGGAAATGGAGTATCCCAACAAGATAACTGTACCTCTTACAGGTCCCGGTTGGCTACTGGCTGGTTGGATAAGCGTTCTTCTGACATAAATTGGCTACTTAAAAGCCCTGACTTAAATTCTATTGCGCATCTTTCGGATGTTTTGGAGAAAGGTTTGAAATCTCATCACACAATACTAGCGACTCTTCCTGAACTATAGACAGCTCTATCCGATGTTTAGCAAGCCATTCCCGTAGAATGCTTCCAGAAACGTTTTGAATCTATGCTTCGTCGTTTGGCAGCCATTATAAAGGCCAGAGGAGGCTCAACTCGTTATTGACTAGCTATCCCTAATTCAGTGGCACTTCAGTGTATAAATAAATTAATATTGAACAAATTATAAATTTCTTTTACATTATAGAACAATTAAGGTAAACAAATAAGGTAAACTCAAAGTGAAATATGCGTTATATCGTATCTAACAAGGAATATAAAGCAAGAGCATGTTCATAATTACTTACTACACAGTTTCTTGTACTTGCAGTGTTTCGGACACTTTTCACAAGGTTTTCCAGCAATGTAGGGCTTGCCTAAGTTTCTTGGATCATTACCTCTGGAAGAAAAACAATTGCAAAATTCGATATCATTTTCCATACACTATTATCATAAAACATATAAATTTTATGAAGTTGAATTGCAAGACAGTTTTGAGTAAAAATCGAATTGCATTGCATATCTTGGGTTAAAAACATAAATCTGATTCTCTAAAAACAAACGGAATATTTAATTACAGTTTACAATTCTTGGTTGACTTTACATTTATTTTGGAACAGCAGTTAAAGAACGTCCTGGATAAGAATTAACCAATCAGCCAAATTTAATTTACGGTTTTTTAGAGTAATTTCTACGAAATTAAAAAATGAATCAGAATATCATTAAGTAAGTCCATTTTTAATGTGCACATTTAAATTTTTGGACAAATTCGGTTCAGTTTACCTTCGCAAAGTATGTTTTATTTTTCCTTACGCACGCTTGTACTCTTTCTTCAGAAACTGACTTTAAAGGCCAGAGGTTACATTCTCTTGAACTGAGTTAAAATTTTAAGCTTCTTGTTTTTTCATAGGAATATTTGTTTTTAATAACGCTCGAAACCATACGATGCCTCAAGTTTGAGAGCATTATTTAAACGCAAAATTAATTTAGTTGCTTTACAGCTTTTATATGATATCTGGTAGATAAGTCTGTCCAAAACAAAATATTGTTGCGTGAGTACGGGTTCATAATGAAATGAATGCACAAGTCGATAAAAGGTTAATAAAATTTATTCTTATCTCAAGAAATAAAGCAAAAGGCTGAAATTTCCTCAGAGATATTCCTACAATATCACAATATCTCACAGTAGTTATATTTTGAACTACTAAAACGTTAAATAGAACTCAATTCAAACTCCGATTTCACCGCAAATTCGCTACAATCAACAACAAGAATAAGTAAACAACTGAACTGAGATGTTTTTGTCCGACTTTTTAAAGCTTCTCAATCATGCACGAGAACATTCTGGTGACTTTTGTTTCTCGAGTTTTCTGGAAAGAAAAAGAGTACAATTACGAGATATCTATTTATTTCATGTTAAAAGCGCGTGCTCCTGTATTTTAAATTTTTCTGTCTGGCTTTCTCTTCAAAAATAAGTCTCGTGATGCATTGTACGGGAATATAAAACAATTTTAATTTCATTTCTACTAAAAATAGGAAACTAAATACATAAACCTTAACAATATCTTCCCTTTGATAGTCTGTTTGTTGAAATAAATCAAGACTTCTTCTAATGCACTGATTTAAATAAGCGGAACCATTTACTATTCTTTAAAGAAAGACTAGTTCAGAAACATAGTTATTGCTCTTCATCTATGATATACAACATCGATATTTCTTGTTAATTTTTATCCTGAAATATACAAGGGCATTTTTTTTGGCTCAAATATCTTTACCATTTCTATTTTGGAGCCGTTTATTTGGCGTAGGATTTCATACCTAGATCTCGTTTAATTCAATGAACAGTGTATTTTGATATCTTCAATTTTCCAGCAATCTGACGGATAGAGATGCTGGATTTCTTAAGAAACTTCCATGAGCCGAGACCACGTTCATAAGCTGTTGGCATTTTGTTATTGGAACCCCGTTTTCTAAGCTTTTGACTGACATAAACCTGTCTATGTTTTTCAATATTGGTTTAAAACTCAACGAATCGTGGTTGGTTTATGATGTTTGACTACTTTCGTTATACCTCCTTCCAGTTCTGGTAACCGTTCTTCCATGAAATATGGGCTCGACTACAAATAAACAAAGTACTTCTGTAGAGCTTAAACACAAGCAGTTTTGTTTCCTCTGGGATCATAACCGCAAACCTACACATTTCTCCCTTAATAGGTTGCGTTAAATGAGGTGGCGTTTTATAAATGGTGGTCAGCATTCAATTGAAACTTACATGCGAGGAATTTGAAGGAAATAAGGAATTTGAATGAAGGAATACGAGGAATTACACATGAGAAATTTGAAGGACACCAAATTTTCAAGACGATGAATTGTTGTTAAGACGCCAACTTGAAAAATCTGCATACCTAAACCAACTTTTATAAGTGTAACTTAATTATTCTAGTGATCTCATCCTTATGCAGTCTTTATATTTCCCTTATTATATTTTATTATATTTCTTTATTATATCATAAAACTAACTGGCAATTAATATTCAAAAATACCTCACTATTTAATATTATAGCTACACTGCACTCTCTAGTACCTTAATAACACTCATGTAGTCGGTCTAATATAACATACCTTCGGCGGGATCTTTCATTAGCAGTCCAGGAACATTTATCTATCTTTTGAGAAATTCAAAACAGGGTTTATACAGCCTCTCAACACATCGTATATGCTACTGCGTTCGTACTTCTGTTTAAATGCGTCAGAGATCAAAGGCTGCGCAAACAAATTATTTCTGGAATAACATACATCGTCGCCACCAAATGTTGTTAATGCTCATGCACTATTATGTATATCGGGTGTCTGCAATAAAACAAGTCTGCAAATACTCCACCGCGTGCTTAAAGGATAATTCAAAGCATTAAGAGTCAACTATTACAGCATTCATCTTAGGATCTAGACAATTAGCACATCCAAATGGTAATTCAAATATCCGGGTTCGAACCTCACCGAGGGCACAATTGATTGTATATATAATTCAAAAGAGATTGGTATCTTGGCGTGAAATATTTAATGGTCTCAGTAGCGTCTGAATTAAAATGTGATGAACAATAACTTGTTACAACCATGATTTGTTCGACTGGATCGCGTGCCTTCTCCCATCGCCTGCCTTCACGTAAGTACGTAAGCAGAATAAAATAATGCCTAATTCGAATTAAAATTGGGCACTTTTCTGTTAAGAGAAACAGTACTCAGATTCTCCTATCACTGTTTAGCAATAAATCCAGCTTGTATTCGGTGAAGTTGTGAGGTATTTTCCTATTTCTTACCGCATATCTTTGAGATGTAATTGGAAGAACGTCCGTCTACCAGTCGAGAGGTCAAGAGCTGAAATCCCGGCCAAGGCATTGCACATTTTTCATGTTTCCTGCTTCAACAAATATAATGACTATAGTGGAGCCTGAACTAAAATGTATTGGATGATAATTCGTCACCATCATAGTTTAAAGACTGGGTCTCCGACTCTGTAGTCGCCTTTTAAGTAAGGGAGAATGTAAGATATTTTCTCCTTCCTTATCGCGTGTTTCTGTCGTGTAACTGGAAACAGGTCTGACTAGAAATGGGGAGGTCGGGAGTTCGAATCCCGAAGGCACTACATACTTTTCATGTTTCCTGCTTTGACAAACCTAATGACTCTACAAGCTCTGTTTTTATGCAAAACCAACCTCTTTAAAATTATATACGATTTAAGACCGTTTTAAAAGAATAGATTTCAGCGTGATACCAGCATCTCACAATAGACGGAATGTTACTCACTGCTATGAACATGGAGTATAGTTTAATTATGCTATTGTCTATTGAATGGCTATTTGACGAGAGAGTGCTTCTTTTGAGAATATGCAACATATTTGAATGTATAAACCAGCATACATTTTTGACTGGTTTGCGAATTTATGAAGTTGAGAAAAGCTTAAAAAGAAAAACATTTAACAATTATTAACAAGGATAGATTTTTTTAAGCACGTTTATGATTAAACAATCAATAATAAAAAAAGGAAAAGAAAGTGTCATAGTATAGTTAATCACATTTAACCTTGGAGTCCTCAAAAGAAATTAAATGACAGAGGACACAAAAAATGACGAAACTTCCGTTTTCCTGATACTTACATAGGACAGTAATTACAGACGTAATTGAAGAAGGGTCTATTCGCTACGTCTTTCCCACAGAATTTGAAACCACATCCAATTCGATGACTGTTGTACCAAACCATCTGCAACGGCAAAAGAAAGAAGTTGTTTTCACATTTCATTCTCCGAAGAAATAAGCAGAATCTATATTCAAGAAGTGATAAAGGGACCGAAGAGAAAGCGCCCACGCAATTCTTATTTCTACGTGTTGAATAGGAGGGCGGAAACTGGCTTGTCTTTTGTTTTAGATGAAAAGAAAACGTTAAATTTTGAGAAAGGTGATATTTCCTTCGTATTCGTGATATTTTTCTGCGATGCATTTGAAGATGAATCATATTACCATAATATGGCCTATTATATCCATGCTACATCTACATTAATGAAGTTTTTGAATGAATTTTATAACACATAGAAACACTGGTTTTTATTAATTAAGGTTAATAAAAGATTAAGTAAACATTTGCTGCATGACAAAAAGACATGCCTAAAATTATTCATAAACATACATAAAGAGGTACTACAAATTGAATAATGCTAAAATATTGTTAATTCAAGCTGTATAAAAAATAATTAAAACAAACTGTCATCGTCCGTTGTGGAATGTTATCTGGTGGAAAAGTACACTTCGCAAGCATCTTTCTATACTATTAGTTAAAGAGCCAATTAAGACCTAAGGATCAAATACCATTCTTGTAACATAATAAATCTGGACCAGGAGCAGAAAAAATAAGACCACTGAATATTAGTAGATGAATCTGGTTTCGAATATCGGCGAAACGACTAGCGACATTCTATGAATTCTGACAGACAGTAGAAGCTTCCTTCAATACCTTAAAAACTGGTCTAAGATTATGGATAAGACTGGTCAGAATATCATAACTAAACGTTTTGAGCTTGTACAACGTAAATCAATATATCTCCAGTGGATATCGTCCCATTTTGGGGTGTATGTAATGATATAGCTAACGATCTTGCAAGGAAAGACTGTGATCTCTCTACCCCCTTTCTACTGATTTAAGCCCATCCCACTAAAAAAATAAAATGAACATGGAGTGGAAAATTTCTCCTGCTCGGTATTGGTATATCGCTGAACAGCCAGACATGTCACTACAGAGTAAAAGAACTATATCTCTCCAAACGGCCATGGCCAGATTCAGAAGCGGGCATCTTCGATGAATAGAATACAACGGGGGGAGGGAGAACCTTTTCCTCATGTGCCTGTTTCCTCCCTGCCTCTCCCGCTTACCTACTAGATTGTATAGGCGTCTCCTTGAGACAGCCATCGGCTGAGCAGGATAATGTTAGCGATTCACTTGAGTGGCAAGGTCTCTTGGACTTGGTGTAGGCTTTCCTGACCTAAGGGGATTAGTATCAACAACAACATATCGGCGAATAAACTAACTGCATCGTCGTTTGTCTCGTGTGTTACATCAATATCAGCCCTTAGAAGGTCCTCCTCGAAGGCATTCCTCCTTAGGTACGTTAGATTTGTATTACCTGAATCATCAACCACCAGGAGGTTCAGAAGACAAAACTGACCTGTCCAACATGTCCGTTCTAAGACAGCTCCAGAAATCCTCGATAGGATTGAGATCTGGTGAATTGATTGAGAACGCTATTCTACTAATAAACACGAACAACTGTTGCCATTCACACAAACTCAATAGTAAAATAAAGCATGTTGCCAGTAACAAGATTATTGTTAAAATCATAACATAAAATTAAACATTGAAAAAATAAATAAGGCAAAAGAAATGCAAATATTAAATATACATCCAACACGGGGTAAACCATTCGGGCAATATACTGAGTTTAAAGGTCACAATAGCAACATTATCATTAATAACCCCCCCCCCAAAAAAAAAAAAATCTTCGCCTGTAGTAATACAAAATAGCCTCGAAAGGGAATACAAAATTTAAACCTTTTTCCTTTCCACGGTTGTGGACTCTCTGATACAGAGATGGATTTCGGTGCAATCGTTTCTTTTGATTCTTCTCCAAACAAGTAAATGGAAAATATGTCTTTTATGACTATGGAATGAAAGGTTGCATGCGCCCCGCGCTTTTCAGCTGAAAATATACCCGAAACTTTATTTCAATTGATCTAAGACATAGCCATGACTAGTACTTGGGAGTAGTCATTTTGATTATTTTTGAAGACGATGCCATCTCAAAGGTCTATCTCTGGAAGATACTGAAATCAGAATGCAGTGCAATAGTCTTCTCGCATAAAACCATGCTGATAGTCTTCGGAAGCATTCCAGTACCTTTGTTTATTCGAGTTTCAGTGGTTGTTGAGCGGTCCAAAGCGGTTTCTTCGTGTCCGTCATTAAATGATGGTCTTCACATGCTACAGTTCCTCTCGAATGATCTTGACCAGAAAGCCAGCTAACTGTTTCCTGCTTCAAACATGCTACCATATTTTTGAGATTAGGTTTTGTAGAATATTCAGCTTTCTTCACACATACAAATGTATTTGATCAGCTCGAGTCAATACACTGATTATAGCTCAAGTTCATAGCCTAGTCAAATGCGCTTGGATGTCATGTCCATCGACTACTGTCGATTTTTAAAACTCGACAATCGCCAGTTTGGGCTTTAATCATGTGATTCACACATTATTAACAATCTTTTAAAATTACTCATTTAATCTGACCACTTTCAGAATCACCAGGCTGCATTTAATCAAAATACGTAAGCGATGTGAAATAAGTTTCCTTTAACAATTCGCTCGCATTTGTCTAATTTATATATTAAGTGCAAATGCCTGCGTTATACCGGGTTTTTTAATTCGGCAGTATAAAATTTCTATAAATAATTACATTACGTGGAATTTTAATGTCTTTTACAATTACCATAAATTTCATAGTTTTCTTTCTTTTTCATCACCTGTGAGTAACTTAAAACTCCAGTTCATGTTTATTTAATACCAAGACTTTTGAAATTTTAAAGTGTATGTAAAGAAATCTCAACTAATTTGTAGTCCTTTTAAGTTCAAATCTTATAGCAGTCACAATAATGAGCCGTCATATGCTTTGCAACTCCAAAAAGGCTGTTGAATTACGAGGGTTATTTTTTTTCCGACCTCCAATCGCACAATACGATGGCCAGGCATGCGGCAGGTGGATTGGTGTACACAGTAGGCGACTGCGCATCTCCCCATACACACGCTCTGTTACTGGCGAGTTGAATACGCCATTTCCTGTTGAGTTGCAGTCACGTAAACATGGCTGTCGCATGGACCTTATAAGAAATAGACTAACCCAAACGGGTTTTCTCCCTCGTTTAAGGCGTTGCCGGCTGTCACCTTGATCACATCCCGAGAAGTAGGGACGACTTGCAGAAATTTAACATTGGTTGTCTATTGCAGCGTGTATAGTTGTCAAGAAAAAGCTCGTTGTAGCGCCTCATTTAACAAATTAGAATTTCTACATATTTTTATTTTTGAAATTGAGATTGATTTTTAAAAATTAAGCATATTTATCAAGCATAATTAACATTCCAAATAATTATAAAGCTATTGCATGCTTTCAGCACTGGATATTTTTTTAGCTTTTCCTATGCTGTAAGGAAATTTGTAACTACTTCTTTTAGAAAATAATATTTTAAATCTGAACTAATAAAAAATTTCAAACAAGCAATTTTCTCTTGCAATTTTTATGAATTTTATTGGTGTAAATAAGTAAAAAATACTAAAATATTTAAAAACGAACTTTTGAAAGTTTACTGATTCTTCCGCGAAGTGTGAATTGCCAGCTGTTATTCGTTTCTTGCAGGCAGAAGGGAACAGTGCAGCGGAAATTCATCCAAGAATGAGTCGAGTGTATGGACACAGCTTTATGAGTGATAGCGTTGTTCGTGAGTGGTGTCGAAAGTTTAAAGATGGCTGAACTGATGTGCATGATGAAGGCGGTCAAGGACGCATGTCTGTCGCTATTTACGACATTGTTCAACGAGTTGACCAAGCGGTTAAGGATAATTTAAGGTTCACCATAAATGAATTATCGATGAAATTTTCCGGAAGTTTCAACATTTTCCCAGTTATTGAAAAGTGATTATTATAGTTATTGAGTGATCGTTATTGAAAATTTGTGCTACAGAAAAGTTTGCGCTCGCTGGGCCCCACAGATGTGAACTGACGACCACAAAATTCGCCGAATGTTTGCAGCGTTGGAGTTCCTTGACCGTTACAATACTGATGGAGAAGATGTTTTGAAATCCATTGTGACAGGTGGTGAGACATTTCTTCAATATGACACGCCCGAAATGAAACGGCAATCACAACAATGAATGCACACAAATTGACCAAAGAGACCCACAAAATTCAAACGAACCTTCAACAACCGTAAGGTTATGGCAACTGCTTTTTGGGACCAAAAAGGTGTGTTGCTTGTAAAGTTCATGCAGCCTGGAACAACAATTAATGCTGATTCATATTCTGAAACTTTGCGACGCTTACGGAGAGCTATTGAAAACAAACGAAGAGATATGCTGACTTCTGGAATTGTTCTGATCCACGACAATGACTGTTCTCATAGCGCTCGTGTAACCCAGCGGCTCCCTCAGAAATTTCATTGGGACATTTTCGAACACCCACCATGTAGTCCCGACCTAGCGTCGAGTGACTATCATCTTTTCTCTGAACTGAAGCAGTAGCTTGGGAGCAGCGCTTTCAAAATTTGAGCGGAACTCAAAGAAACTGTCACAACTCACTTTTCCAATCATTGGCGGGAACATTTTATGAAGAGGGTATTGGAAAGCTTGTTCACAGATATAACAAATGCTTCAATCGTCAAGGTGATTACATAGAGAAATAACCTGTATTGTACATTACTTTTGGTAATAAAATGTTTTTTGTATATTTACCCATTTTTTCTTCATAGCCCATCGGAGGTTGAAAAAAAAAAAAAAATAGCCGACGTACTATCATCCTTTCACTCTGAAATATTGTCTTAGATTTTCCCAAATTTCAATCCATTTACGAACCGTTCTTTTATTAAATTTTGATTTATCCATAACGCTAAATAATTTGTGAGACTCAAGCAATGTATCTGTGTAGTTCATATTAAATCATTATCAGTAAGAACGTTTTTAAAGTATCATAATGCATTCATAATGTCTGCAGACACTTTGCAAAATCTATAATACAGTAAGACCCCGCTTAACGCGGGGGATACGTTCCATCAAAGTAGAGCGTAATGCGAAACAGCGCTAAACGAGGCTATCTTTACATGTAAATATTGGGGTTAGGCGAAGATGGCTAGGAAATTGGTTAGGTATTAAATTTAAAAAGTATGTTTTTTTAATAAAAATAAAACCAAACATTTATTTCTTAAAGCCCAAATTAATACCACATTATTATTTCTTACAAAAATAAAAACAAAATATAAATAAAAAAAGAATATTCTTAAAAAAACAAATAAAATTCTCAGTCATATTTAGTTAGCCTTCCGCGTTTTCAGTGTTCTGCCTTTTTGTGACAAAAGCATCTAATGTTGTTTGCCTTTTTCTTTTGCGTTGTTCTCTTAAAAGTTCTTCATAAACGGATAGAGCATCTCTAACACCACGCCTTACTTTTGAGCTCCTGTCAAAATTCGGATCATTTTCAATGAATTGATCCATTATTTCAGTTATGGTAGACAAACTCCTTTTTACAAACGCCATCGAAAGTTCTTTTGCTCTCTTCTGAATCACTGCGGTCAACATTTTTGTTTTCATCTTGTTCAGTTAATTCCTTGAGCTCATCATTAGAAAGACTAGCCGCTGCTTCTTGAATTATTTCTTCGACATCTTCCACATTTACCCCTTCAAAATATATCTGTACAATACCGCAACCAAACAAGAATACAAGTACACTCTTTCGGATATGTATTTGAAACCTATCGCTGCATAATATTTCGGGGAATCCCCGTATGCTGCGAGCGATTTCGTGGAATCCCGGGTTGAAATAAAAGAGCGCTAAACCGAAACAGCGCTAAACGAAACAGCGTTAAGCGGGGTCTTACTGTATGTATATACTAATGGATAATGTAATCTACTAGACTGTAATATGTTTGAGTTCAAAACTTCAAAAATCCTTTTCAGAGTTCTCTTACTGATCTTCCAACCAACAACGCTCCTTATGGATGCCTCAGGGGTCACCAATAGGCGATAACGCCCCAAAATGGAAAACTATGGTGCAAAGGCAAAATAACAAAACGGGCCGTTGTTATGCGACGTTACAGACAGGGTAATTTGGTTTTCGGTATATAAAATCCTAGATTATAGGATATTATGTCATCTGACTTTTTTTTTTTCATTTGGAAGCGCGATAAAAGCATAATATTCATGTCATCTTTGTATATAAACTTACATGATCTTAAAATATGTATTTTTATTTGTAGAAACAGCAATAAAAATACGCGAGTGTAAAGTACAGGAAGGATCTGATTATCATCTTGAACATCGTAAATCGAAATCTTAAGACATATGTAAGTAATAATAAAAGGTTTCCTTTCATTTCGTATCTCGTTCATACCATCTTCGTAAATTTACAAAAATATAAATAAAACCAATCGAAATAGGCTCAACCATTTTAAACAAACATACATTAAAAAGACCTTTCAATTTTCTCAGAAAATACACTCAGATTTCACATCGTATGGTTCGAACAGCCATTCGAAGAAATTATGTTCATCCTTTAAAACTAAATAGTTACCTGTGTATAGTGTCCAACGACAGTTAAATTATTACTTGGACTTCCGTATGTGAAATTGAGATGTTCCATGTACCAAGCTTTAGCTACATACATCCAGTCCACTTGCTCGCTGGAGACGAATATATTTTGACCGCAGGATCCATAATCTATAAAAGAAGATCCGGGATTCAGTGGTGAAAATTAAAAAGAAAGCATTTATGTAAAGTTATGTAAAGCATTTAACACAATGGCCTCTCGATATAATGTGGATTGTGTTCAGTTAAAATTAATTCTGCCGCAATTAATTAAAAAATGAATAATAAACCCTACTCTTCGCAGTATACTGATAAGGTCACCCATATCGTATTCAGAGTGAGGGGCTTCCATGTTAAAGTTAAGAAATAAAGGTTTTAAATCGTAAAAAGGAACTGCAAGCTCATGTTATTGAATACGCAAACTGAATGAAATTCACGCTTTTTAGATAGTTGGTAAAAAAGAGGGAATCACATGCAAAAGTGTAATGCACAAACGCATGTGCAATGCACAAAAATGAGTGGTAAATATGATCATATTTATATATGGATAAATAAATCAAAATAACATTATGTATAATCTATAAATTAATTTTTAAAACTAGTTTAAAAAAAATCTGAGGATGCCTCAATGACAGGCACACAAAATCAAACTTTCGTTAGCGAATACTTATGTATCTTTAATTTCATTCATATTCTGAGCTTCAAACCTCTACCCCCGACACATCTACAGGTTCCAATGCGTGCCAAACTGGGAGGCATAATTTTTCATGCTACTTTTCGCTTTTTTTTTTTTTTCATTATTCTATATTATTATTTTTTTATTTATTTAATGTGGTTTCATTGAACTTTCATGCACTGTCTTGCCGGCAAGGCCGTATATATGTAAGATAAAAAATATTTGAATCAAAATTATAATTTAAACTCACGGTACAATCTTTAATTCTTCCTCTCTGTTTTAAAAATTGTGATAACTTCTCTAGATTGCGTCAATTCTAGATCATTCCGTTTTGCATGGCCTGCGCAGAGCTGATGACTTAATAATTGGGAACTGAAACTTTTAACTCAAACCATAACCTTTCTCTTCGTGTGCTTCCATCTTGCCTAACTACGCACTTCAGCTTCGCTCTCTACCCTGTTAGGATGTAATTTCGCTGTCTTGCTTACTATCGCAATAATACCAAAAATATAACTGCTCTGTGAATAGGCACGACTAGAATGCCATTGATTGTAGCTACAAATGTCAATTTCAAATAAAGCTGCCTCGACTGCCAAGTTTCTTAGATATTACGAACTCAACATATTAGCATACTACACAATCAGAAATCTTCCTCTTCTATATGCCATCGACGTGCTTCGTCATCAGTAATTTCTGCGTTTCTACATCTCTGTGTTCCTGCATCAGTACTTCTAAATTTTGCGTTTATTTTATATACATATCTATATATATCTATATAGATATATAGATATATAGATACGGAATAGAAAATTTTTTGGGATATCTGTAAGAACATATATATACGTGCATATTAAAATATGTCAAAAAAATCAAGGCAATATATTAAAAGCAAACAAATTCAGGTATAAAATACCAGGAGAATTTTTACATAAAAATCAAGAATATAACTTTTTCTCATAGTAGTTTTGGGAAATTTGTGCTTTCTTAGCAGAAACCTTGGTCGGCCCGCGGGTTAAAGGTCCCACCACGCTTAATCACAAAAATCTGATGTGTACACTACATGACATCCTTGTATGGAATATTAAATTATACGCATTTTTTCTTGCATTTCATTTAAACTTATTGGACTGAATTAAATCTACTTCGTCGACAGCACATAAACAACAATTAAATAAATGCACTCTTTAAAATTCACTATATTTTTTTACTATAGCGACATTCTGGCGCTAGGTTCACTTAACAGCGTTATGCTTCGCTCACATTATAACTCAGAATGCACAAAATTTATATCATTTGAAGAACTATATAATCGTTGCCACATGTTCAATTCAAATGCTATAATAAAGCTAAAACGATGTATAAAAGAAATTAAGCAAACAAAACAAAAAAGAAACAGTTTTTCACAGACAATTGAGTATTTCTCATTCAATTAATTCAGTTCTCGCGACAAGGCAAAAATACATAAATACTCAAAATATCTGTATTAAAAATTACGAACTAAATCTTAAACACTTATTTCCTCGAAAAAATTCCAGAAAGGATTAAGCATGATTTAATTCGCAATAATAAATGAACGCGTTATCTTTGTTGTTGCGAAGTTAAGTTTCTCTAGATTGGCAACAAATCCACTATTCTGCTGTTTCAAATGTAAACAAGCAATGGACACCATCAAAAAAATTATTAGGCTTAGTTTCACTTAAACAACTTTAAAATTGTTGATAATTCTAAAAATATAGCATACAGATTTACTAAAGGCATAAAATACTTAACCGGAAGATAAGAACAACATAATTCAATAATTTTTAAAGCAAAAAATGTATAATTTACAAACATATAAAAGTAAAGAAACTGAGATCACTGAGCCGGTTAGTGTGCATATATATATATATATATATATAAATATATTTATATACGTTTGTTGCTGCCGATTGCAACCACAATACGAGGTGCACATCTGCATGTTATAAGAGTCCTATATACAAAATTTCACCGTTCTGAGGCTTCTCATTTTTGAGTTATGCGAGATACGTACATACGTTCGTACAGAAGCCACGAAATATTCTCTTCAGAATTCATTTTAAAGCAGTTTTATAATTATTTTGAAGGAAAATAGTCTTTTATTCTGTTCTTACCTACTGATGTCACGCAAAAACATCGTTAAATTGCATTCGATAGCGGTCAAAATGGATATGTGTGTTGAAATATGCTGCCTGAAACTTTTCGCGATTACAATACTTCCTTTTTACTTCGTACAAGGAAGTAATTAGCAAATTTAATTGTCCAATCTATATCTTACGAATTTCAAATGTCGCCAGAGATCTACGCGGTGGTCACTTGGTGGTTTAACGACGTGGCACGAACTAAAATTTCTTTGACCTTTACTCGATTTTCTTTATTTCTAGGGCATTATTTTGGGACAGAAGTATTATTATACAAGCTGACCTCTTGTCCAGGCAAGATGCACAGGCATCCCGGAGCCCACGGTCTAGAAAGCAGATGTCAGGGCACTGCCGGCCATGGCTCTCAAAGGGCTGTTTGTGCCGCCGAGTTTAGTTAAGTATTATTATGATTCGAATAAACTTTTACGTAACATCTAGAATCGTAATATATCAAGCATTGTAATAACAAGAAATGACTATAGTCACTCTAGGACAGTGTGCAAGGGCCCATATTTGAGTTTATACTATGAGCGAAGTTTAACCGCGTATAATCGGTTAATAAGATTAATTGAAGTAAAAGAATGTACGTCGTGTCCAAGGAATACAGCAGTTTGAATTTATATGGGCAATAAACAGCACATGAAATAATTTTACTACCATTAATAACTGACAAGAGTATATGTTCCGAATAAAATATTGCCTACAGGAAGGCAAATAATTTCTATGAAATATTCAGTTTTGGAAAGGAAACAGGAAAAAGATGAAACGGTCACTGAAAATGAATAAGTAAGAAATAGTCTAATATAACTAAATGTTTGTAAATTGGTCTTAATCATTAATGGCTTTTGAATTTATTTTCTCATATCAGTAACATAAACCAATCATATGGAGTATACTGCATTCATTAGAAGTAAATTTACGACACAGAAGCAATTATTTAGTAAGGATGTGAAGACATTTTCTTCATTCCCATTCTTTTGCTGTGTATTAATCTTAAAAAAACTTACCTTCCACCCACCTATCAACAGGATTATCGTGACGCAGGAATTTGCAGGAATTGGCCCATTTTTGCGCTGCCTCTTGCGCACCTGTATGCCAAGTCTGCAAACGGAAAAGAAGAATCTAAGACAAAATGAACCTAAAATTGGTTTTAAACTGCAAGTTAATGATTCAAATACGAGTTTCAAGAGTGAAAGACTACATTAATGTAAGCCTAGTAGAATAGTCATAATTGATCTGTTTTATGATGCCAACTTTTTACTATACAAGGCCGGATGTGGTGGTCTCTTTATTATGGAGGTACCTAATAGGTGGGCCACCATCGCCTTTCCTATGAAGGGACCGACAGTTACAACCATGTCTTCTCCGGTATTCGAACTTAGACCCTTCGGCATCGCAGTCAGCTTCCCTGACCACCATACTGACTGGGCTGGGCGGCTGATGCCATCTTACAAAGTATAGTACTTGCAGTAACAAACACAAAATAGAATCGAAAAGTAAAACATTTAAATGATGAAAGGTTTAAGAAATAGATTCGCGAGACATTCCGTCGAACAGTTACTAGCTTCAGAATACATTGCTAATGAAATTGCGTTTCCTGGTCGTGTAGACATTTCAGGATATATATGAATACCATTAAACGTTTGCATCAAATGCATCATTTGAATAGATTGGCTGAGATCCAACAATCATCATTGGACTCTTTCCATCATTTCTTTGTGAATTTCATTCGAAATTTTCCGTTTATGAACCCATTACACTTTAATGTCTTTACTTTGAATTTAAAAGGAAAGCATTACTCTTCTTCCGAATTTTGTGAAATATTATCAAAGGCGTGTTGCTAAAATTATTAGTGAAGTAAATTTTGCGAAATTAGAAGCCAGGGTCATAAATCGAGACGTTAGCCTTTTCAGTACCAATATTTTTTTTCTCCTGAGAAAAAATGAAACAAATTAAGTACAATACAAATACCGATAATATGCTGAAAAAAATAATAAATAAATAAATCACCAGGGGGAGAGAGAGATCCATGGAACATATGTGTCCCATTGGTGTGTTTTACTGTGACACATATGTCTCAGTGGTACTAAAAATAGTGACTGAAACTGCAATTAAAAGTTAAGATATTTTTACTGAGACTGGTTTTGGGAAAGATGCAATAAAATAAATAATAAACAATCATGTATGATACAGTGCTAAATAGTTTTCACAAAATGTAATTTTTCACATTGCACATACAGCTTTTGTCCGTTTTCTCTTTGATACAGCGTACACATCTTCAGCGCGTTAAACTTTTTACTGGCAAGTGATCACCCACATTCAACATGAGTTTTGACGCATCCGTGGCAAGTAACTTACGGAAGACCAAATAACGTAATCAGTAGATTGAGTTAAATTGCTGTTTCTTTTTTTTTTTTTTTTAAGCCGTCAGCGTGTTGTCTTGCATTTTTGCGCTAATACATTAGGCAAGGAATCATTAAGGTCCAAGGCAGCCGAAGACTCCAATGCGTATTCATCATGTGACAACCTTCGCTTGTGCGATTTTTGAAGCACTTGGAATTTTTGATGGAAGTTTCTGATCCGGCGTTCCTTCAGAAGAGGAATTCTTATTATCAGAGTAGTCAGGCTTATATTCGACATTTAGGTCTGATTCATCCAATTCATCATCCGAATCTGTTTCTATCAAAAGACACTGATTTCCCTCAGCTGATAATAATTTCCGGCTACTCATAATAGATACAGCTTAAAAGACAAAAACAGAGGGTCTTAAAAAAGGAACTTCACTGTGTATTTTCATAACCAGAGGGACAATAATGTTCCAGTGAAACATACTACTTGAGCACTTAATGTCACGTATCATCTACTACTGTAACAATTATAATAAAAGCATACTTATTTTGGTAATAAATTGCGAGATTAGAAATATATGAGTCTTCTCTCTATTTCACAATACGAACAAATGATTGCTGAAGAGAAAAACAAATACCGCGCTTTGGCAGATTGCCCGGGGAAAGGACTCTGCTGCCATCTATTGGGAGGAAATTACACTAAATTACCAGTTTTACCAAGACATAGCAGTTGGACATGCATTCAAATTAATACAATGCATATTTATCCCATAGGGTCATCTGAAAGTTATCTCATAGAGTCATCTTGCGGGGCATATATGCCCCGATGGTAGCGAAAGTGTTAAACTACAAACTCGATGTGTGTAAAGAAGTTGCCAAATCTGTGCTGAAATGCAGTATGCTACGAATAATGAAGGCATTATTGATACATAAATAATGACTTCATTATTCGTAGTTAAACTTCTATTAAAATTTAATTTGCAGACTAAAAATAACAGGTGTTTAATCTCATACTTTCTGTCAATGACAGTAAAACGCTTGAATTCTATAGCGCATATAAAAGGTTCATAAAATCGAGTACACATTTACCATTTCCAACATGTTGCTTGCCGGTGGTTCAACTTTGGCTCTGTAGAAGTTATGAATGAGAACGATTTTCTTTTGTGTATTTCCATATCTTGTGTCTAGATCTCGAGCTGGAATAGCTTTTCCGTAGAGCTTTGGTTCTATACGGGGAAAAAATACAGTATATCTCATCCTTCGTTCATGCAACAGTGGTTGTACTTAAAATATAAAAGCATTCTTTTTCAAATTTTCATATATAACACCTACTGAATTAAAATTAAGGGTACTTTTCCGTTTCGCCGGCGCAAATCTCGCCAAGCAGTCTTTATTGGCGACAAAATACAGTATACACATAAAAAATGGGAACAAATGTTAGTTCTAAGAATCCTTAGTTTAAAGGCATATACATTTTAATATCGTTTAACGTTTTGAAAAAATCCAATGAATAAAGACAATAAATTTGTACAAAGACATTATTTAAGAATTTATTATGCTTTCAAGGTACAGCATCCTGATTCGCAGTTCTTTATCACGTGACCCCGAGTGATCTCATCTCACGTAAAGCTACGCTACAAAAATCTAATTCTCTCAGTTATTATCTACATTAATCTCAAGTTAAATCTTAATTTGGAATACAAGTTTAAATGGCAAGAATTACTTTCAATTCGTACGAATAGCTTACTCCAGAAATTATGCAAAACCGCAGTGCTCTACTTTCGCTAGTGCATTCTTCATTAGAATTGATGAATTTCAACCTGTTGACTTTGCCTTTTTCTATATTTTCGCCTTCAGGTGAGCGCTGTGATTGCATCGTAATTGACTTAAATTACCTTAAGTATTTTAATTGACGTAATTGGCTTTTATCAGATAAGGGCATAAAATTCAGCTATCCGTGATAAAAATTCTATGTAATTATATGCCAGTATTGAAAGGATACAATCAATCTGATAAGAAATGGCTGCGATTTTTTTTTTTAAATGATGCGTAAAAGGTTACCCGCGGGGATATTCCTTTTGGCATCAGTTGTACCATTATTGGCGGCTTTATCGCCTGCGCCGGCAAAACGGAAAAGTACCAAATTAAGAAATACGGCCTTTCTACTAACAATATATTGACAGATATTAAGGATAATCTAAAAATTGTCTTACTTTGAAATTTCTCGCCTGCTAAATTAAAAGGTCCTCATTTAACAGATTAACTGTACAACAACAAAAGTACTTAAGAACAAAATACAGTTAAAATAAAGATATAGATTTAAAAAACATTATTTATCAAAAACTACTAATTATAGTAGACAAATCAAGTTAATATCAACAGAAGACTTCTTTCTGGCAATACGATAGAGAAATAGTGCAAAAAATTTGAATATGTGAAAGATAAAAATATTACGTAATTTTTGAAAAGCAAATCTTTGTAAAATTAGATTACTCACTTGGTAATTTTGCTTCCACATGAAATAAATCTGATACAAGCAAAATCGCAAGAACATTTGCGAAGTAAAGAAAATTAACAAAATCAATATTCATCAGTCTTGAATATGAATTTCACCCCTGGAAAATAAAAATATAATTTTCAAAATTTCGGCAAAATTATTACTGTAATAAAACTTCGAAAAAATATATCAGCGTATAGCGTCTCGTATTCATTGCAAATATAAATTAAAGAGTTTCTGGAAGACTGTGTGAGGAATTATACTTAAGTTATTTAACTTTTAACCCTTTATTAACTCAATATAAATTTCACAGATGGCACTGAGTCGTGCTTACAAAAGCCAACACGTTTGGCTTAATTCAAAAGGTAACAAGTAACGTAAAATCAAAACAGAATAAAATTAGCCTGACGGCATTTCATAGGTTACTTACATAGGTTCATAGCGCAGGCAAGCTCTGATTCATAAAATTCGGCGTAAACAAGCGTTAGAAGCGTTCAACGCCACAGAAATCTAATCACTAGTAAACGGAAGATAACAACCTTCAGGTAGGCATAACATGCTCTAAAATCACCTTCCAAAACCTACCTTTAAATTCTACTTTCTACCTCATTTGGATACACGGCGTTAATTCATTAATTCTGGCAAGAAATCACAGGTTGAAAACCAGAACAAAAGGAAAGCTGGTTTAAAATAAAATTAAGTGTTAGATAAATTGTATGAATCCACACAAGCATTCTAAGAATATTTGGAAAAAAAAAGATTTCTGTAGGAATATAGAATGAAGTAATTCATGTATAAAACTTTTATAAATAGCTATTGCAGTTGAGATGCAAAAAATCAGGTACGAGTAGAAGTAGGCGGAAAACTGCAATTTCATCACTGGTCGTACAGGTATAGTCCTGCTACTCTAACTGCGCTGTTCCGCAACCCCAACCTCAATTTTGAATGAGAACGCCCTGGAAGGGGGCTAGTATCTTCTACGCTTCCCCCTCCACCAACCTCTCGATAGGACTTCTGGTTTGTCGAGTATTTTGAGTGTCCCCTTGCCACACAGACAGTATTCCCTTACAAACATTCATTCTTTCTCCGGCATTCGAACCTGGCCTCATAGTTAGCATCACAAATCACTATATCGGCTGGGTGGCAGTTTTACCTTAAAGTATTATATATTATTCTACTAATGTCACGTCGGATGACTGAAAACTTGGCTAAAATAAAAAGCAATATCTATTCCAGATAGAAAACATGCATAAAAACAGTTTTGTACATTTATATAGCTCAAATTTTTTTTTTCAAAACCATACGAAATAAAAAACATACAGCGGACATTTATTTCTATAAGTTTATCGTTTATTACATAGTTAAGACAAATAATAGATTCAACAATAAATTATATGTTAATATGGATGAGACGCATCCTAATATGAAAACTAAATTAACCAAACTCTGGCTTATACTGACATTTTTTCCTAAAAGTACACTGCATTTAGAAGTAGACTAAAAAGATCTCTTAGTGTGGATTTTATATTTAATTTCTAAGAGTTATTGAAAAGAACAACATCAGAGACAGAAATAGGAAAGTTATTAAACTAATGCAGACACAAAAGAGTAACTAGAAAGGCCAATGGAAAATATGCCATAGCTATAAGCGGTAATTTTACAACACAAAGGGATTCGCGAAAATCTCTCTTTTTCAGAAATGTGACACCTAACTAGAATTATTCGAATTAGCATAAGCAGTTTGAAAATGCATACATGGTATTTAATGTTTAGAACGGGGAAATGGATGGTGAATTAAGACATATCTTGTGATTTTATGCGAAAGTAATGTAAATGAAGCTTTTCCATATACTGTTCAGATATATATCAAAAATATTTGTGAAAAGGTTTTTCAGAAATTCACTTTTCATCATTGAATACCGCATTGCTAGCATTTGGTGTTGTTCTCCGAAAACATCGCAGCAGAAGGAAAAAACAATGCAAGGGGAGAAAAACCTAGTCATAGAAAATAGCATAGAAAAAAGAAAGCAGAGATAAAAAATCTTCTTCTTTAGATGCAACGTATTCTTCACGTTTTTAAAGGATAGAAAAGCTAAGGCTTAGCCTTCAAAACAAGTGCTAAATATCATGGATGATCATTATGACCCTGAAGTTTCTATTTTAAAGTAACATAATCAAGCGTGCGGTGTAAAATTTCCATAAAAATGTAGACTTTAATATGCATGGTGTTTCACATATTGAAATTATATAAAAAAATATTAAAAGTAACAGAAACAATTAATTTGGGAATGAATTTTATTATTCTAAATTTTTTAATTATGTCCGTTAAGTATTTTACCATGATTCATTATTTCTTCCCCGTAATATTCTGAACAGTCAGAACGTCACAAATGGAATACCATTTCGTTGTTTAACCACTTTGCCGTCCTACCAGAAGTCTAATATTTGCTCCCTATTTTCCCTTTTTTCTTCTTCAAAGATAAACATTTTGCGTCTAAAATTGACCTTAGAAATGTTTCTTTTCCCCTTTCACCAGCTGTCAAGACTTATTTAGAAAACTGTCTACTTGTCATGCTCAAGGATTTTTAATATTATCTCCATATCCAGGTTCTTTTATCTTTTCTAGTCTCTTATCTGAAAATTAACAAAGACGATCTCCTAATGGCCCATCTTCAAATCAGCAGTTGTTCTATTGCACAACAGACTTGTTCTATTCCAGCAGAGGTTTCATTTTCAACAGCTGAAAGGGTGCGGAAGTGTATTTCTGTTTATCATCTTTTGAAGTGAGCTTTCTTTTATGTGATTCTGACACAACCCCCATATGGAAAAAGCGTGACACCAATTACGCTGTCAAACACCTCTTTTAATTTTCGCTACATTCTGGGGGATTGGAAAACACGAAGCGAAGAGTGTCGCTTGGGGAGTAACGATCCAGGCCACATTTATCTCCGACGAATGTGTGCCATTACTGACGCTTGAAGACACTTTTCAAACGTATGAGTCTGTTTCGAGAGAAACGGTTAAGTGATTAATGTGAAAATAAATGCTGTTTCGATGATATTTAGACGATATGTACGAGAAACTATGAGCGAATATACTGTGCACCCCGTACAGCCTTCATCACAAAATATTATGAATTAAGCAATATGCCTTTACTTGCAAAGTCCTATACATGTTTTTTTGTGAATACTTATTTGACCCATAAAAAAAAGACATCTTTTGTGCTCCCGGTACAGCCTTCACTACAAAATTTTATGACTTGGACTACATGCATAAATAAAAAAGAATAATAAAAAAAAACCTTATTTGTTTTACAGTCAGTACTTATTTGGACCGTAATTTAAGACAAACTTTCTGTAATCCAGTACAGCTTACGTCACAAAGGTTTGTAACTTGGGCAATATGCGTTTAAAAATGCTTTGCTGTGAATATTTATTAAACTAAATTTTCAATACACCTATAAGGTATTTCTCCCACTTCACTAGCGTTCCTTCGTTGTGCAGTGGTCAGCATACTGAGTCGGCATTCCAGAGGTCCGTGGTTCGATTCCCGGCGAAGGCGGTTGCATATTTTTTATCTTTTCTGCTTCCAATTAACCTAATGACTCTACACACCTAGCACAGCATTTGTCGCAAAGGTTTTCAATTTTGTTGCAAGACGAATTTTATGTGCAAACCAGTAACCTGTATAACCACCACAAAATTTTATTTTAAGCAGTGTGCACATAAAACAATAAGTACCTTACTTTTTTTACACAGAAAATAATTATTTCATCCAAAGCGAAAGACAAATTTTCTATGCTATAAAATTCACCATAAGCTTTTATCACTTGAGCAGTATATATGTAAGAAAAAGCATCTTTCTTGTGTTACTGTGAGAACTTACTTAGCACACAGAAGAAAAAAAAACACATTTTCTGCAGGCGCACCACACAAAGCTTCATAACTTAAGCAACTTGCATGTAAAGAAAATCATTACTTGCTTTCCAATGAACATTTATGTAAACCATATCCAAAAAGACAAGTTTTCTGCGAATCTGGTATAGCTTTTTTTATTATTATATACTCCGTCACTGGGCACTGCAGTAAGGAAATGGAGGGATAGCCCCGTGGAGGTCTTTCTAAGGGAAACTGGCTCGTTTTCACGTTACAAATGGAGAAAACCACAAAAATGCCTACGCAGCCAGCCCCGTTCGGTTCAACTCGAATCCCAAACAGAACTACCAATATTCAACGGCTGTAATCGCTCACCCGCTGCGAAGGGGCCCTAGAATAGCTTTGACTGAAAATGTCTTAAGAAATATGCATCGGGGAAAAAATCCCTCACTTGTTTCATAGCTAATATTTATTTCCCGCCAACGAAAGAGAAAATATTCGCGCACCCGATGCAACCTTCACTGCAAAATTTTATTGCTTGGATAAAAAATATATCCGAATTTTTCCAAATATCCTGGCAGGATGTCCTCACAGTGTAATTGTTCTGTATGAACAGCTTACCAATAACATAACAGTGAGTAACATATTTTGTATACCCGATGTGTCATACGCTGTCATCTTAATTCTAGTAAGTTAGAAAAAAAAATAACGAACAAAGCCGCAAGGAAGCTAAACTCATTTTTAGTATCATAAGATACTTATCTATCGGTATCATTTTCTCTAATATATATATCTACCAATTTAATATATAATTACAAACTATGCTAAACGGATTACTAACACTAGAAAAATTTTTTCACAGATATATTAATAGAATTTGTAATAGATTTATTTACATTTACTGTATTTAATTTTGTAATAGATATAATAGTAATTTCTTTCGTAAAAGCAAATAATATAGCAGTATCAGTACAAATTTCACGGATTAGTTACTTACCCAAAATTTTCTCAATTTCTTATGCGTCTTATATATGTCCACGACTTTTTATATTCTAAATTTTCAAAAAAATATTCTAAATTTAAACAAAATATTCTAAATTTTCAAAAAATATTAGTATTGATAACAAACCACGCTGTTCAAAACTCGATCTACACTTCCTCGTCCTAGCAAGCCCTCGAACAAATGATTAACATGAAATGTTTTCATAGACACTTCGTGCCTCTCCCCCACCTCCCAATAAGA